CTGCACTGGATGATCCTGGTGTTCCATTCCAGCTCAGGAGATTCTGTGATTCTACAAACTGGTTTTGCTGCTTCCCCTGCCCAGCCTAGAAAATCCAAGCTGACCAAGCTGCAGCAGCCTCTTCCCTCCCCCTCTGCCCATACCTGTTGTAGCAGGTGTGTGACACAGGTGGGACTTGAAAGTTCGCTTGGGACTGGGGCTGAGTGCAGGGTGACCATTGAGCCTCTGCTTGCTCAGCACGTGGCTGGATTTTGGAAGGAGGGATGTGCACACACAGCCTGCCCCTGGCAGAGGAGGGGATGTGTGTGCTGTCCTTTCCTCATGCCTGAGGTGCCACACCAGCTCCCCCGAGGAGGGCAACTCACTGGGGGAGGAGAAAAAGCAGTTTGAAATCTATGGCTGCTCTCCTTAAATCACCTTGGAAGGAGGCAGACGTGCCCAGCTCCTGGCATCTCTATTTTTACTTTGTGCAGAGATGGATATGGCTGAGCTGTCTCCTTTTATTTTCAGCACTTGGCGCGTGCTGCAGCGCGTTGCTAAAGATGTGTCTGGCTGGATGTGGAGCTGCCCGCTTCCCTGAGTCCCTCAGGGACTCTGGGGTGAAGGGCTCTTGCCTTCTGCATGGCTTCATCATTCATTTCTTCTCTCTGCCTCCCCCTTCCCCTCCCTTTACAGTTTTGGGACTTGGTTTTTTTCCTGTATTTATTCAAATCAGCCTGGGTAAACAGGGAGCAGGAGGGAGGTGACTGGGGCCACTGGTAGCACTGGATTCCAGAGGCATTTTTAATGGGTCTCTAATAACTGGAACTGGCCTATTTTGATGCACAAACTATTTTTATTTCCTCTGTCTGCAGCTTGGCACTTCCAAGATTTCCTTGGAAAGACTCAGACTGTGCATTTTTCTTCCTGACAGGCAGCCTGACAATCTCTGTGCTCAGGTGGCTCCATTGCAGCAGCTGTGATGCTGCTGGTTTTGCCAGGTCCATCCTGACAATGTCATTTTTGGGTTCCAGCTGCCCCCAGTGCATGAGCTGTGCTTGTCCCACATCCCTGTCCCTCCTCCTGCTTGTGGGCAGGAACCTGTACAAGAGCGAGCCAGGCAAGTCCCCAGTATCTCCCTCTGGCCATGGGATACTCATGGAGAGGCTGATTTTATGGTCCACTGTTCCAAAACCTGGTTAGGAGTGAGATGAATGGTTTGATCTATTGAACCAGACACCTCTGAAACCTCCCAAATAACCTGGCCCTGTATCTTCCAGTCTTTCCTGCTCTGGCCATGAAACTGGGGGGCTCTCTGGCTGTCCTGGACCTGCTGCCCCCAGCATCACCCACCCTGCAGGGGCCTGGGGACCTGCTGGCTCCTCCAGGAGCCTGGGGGATGAGGTGGGTTATGCAATCCCTGTGTCCAGCCACCCTGGCAGCTGTGGGGCAATAGCTCAGAGCTACTGTCCACCCCATTTTTCCCCAGTGAGGTAAGGGCATGCTCATGTGTCTGGAGCAGGTTGGAGAAGATGCTGTGTGACAAATCTCTGCCCCCTGAACTGCTCCAAGGCTTGTCCCAAGTGTGGTGACTTGGTGTGCCTGGTGAGGGGACACTGGGGACTTTGGGGAGCACAGAGGGAAGGGGAGAATGAAATTCCTTCAAACTTTTCAGCCTGAAATGCTGCTTTCTGTTGCTTGGGGTTGGAATGGCAACCCCAGGGTGAGTGATGGTCAGGGAATGTGGCTGGAGAGGGCTTGGTGGGGCTGAAGGACTGGAACCCCCCTGAGAGCCCCAGAGCAATCCCTGCAGGGACTGTCCCTCCTCTCTAGGCTGGCTGTGACCATGCAGTTTGGGATGTCAGTGGTTAATGGGGAAGCCTTGGAGCTGACAGCTGACAAACTCCTCAGCAACTGGAGAGGGAATTTTGGACATGGTCTGACTTTAGCCCTAGTGCTTGACCATGGCAGCAGGGCCCCAGGCAGGGCTGGCTCTGGGTGTCAGACTGCAAACCACTGCCTCTGTCTGCTGTGGGAAGGGAGCTGTGCCCAGCCTGTGTTCCTGAGCATCCCCACCCACTGCCTCCCTGGAACAGGAGAGCCTCCTCACCACAGTGCAGCATCGGCTGCAATCAGAGCCTGTGGGCCCCTTGTCTGGGCATTGAACAGATGGTGGTGATCTATAAACTCCTGCTGTGCAGGGAGGATGAGGAGGAGCCTGCTCAGGGGCTGTTGCTCCTGAAGGATGTGAATGTTCTCCAGTTTTTGGTTGGGTTTTTCTTGCTCACATCTCCTGTGTGAAAATGAGGGAATGGAGTGGGTGAGTCTGGGCTTGATTTGACTGGGTCCATCTGTGTTTTGTGGGCTGATTCAGAGTGGGACAGGCTTGTTGTGAGCCCAGAGATGTGGCAGTATGTCCGAGGTGGGAGCTTGGCACCAATGTGCAGATACACAGGACACCACTCTGCTAAAACCCTTCCTGCTCCTGGTGCTGAGGCCCCTCCGTGGCTTTGGCTCTGCCATCTGCCAAAAGAGAGGACTGGATGTCACCTGGGGAGGTGGGGAGGGTTCATTGTGATGTTCACCTCGGGAGGGCACCTGGTGTGTGAGGCCACACCTTGAGTGCTGTGTCCAGTTCTGGGCCCCTCAGTTCAGGAGGGACATGGAGAGGCTTGAGCGTGTCCAGAGGAGAGCAATGGGGCTGGAGAGGGGCTGGGAACACAAGCTGTATGAGGGAGCTGGGGGTGCTCAGCCTGGAGAAAAGGAGACTCAGAGCTGACCTTATCACTCTCTTCAGCTTCCTGAAGGGTGACTGTGCTGAGCTGGGGTCGGTCTCTTTCTCTGGGCAGCAACAGACAGAACAAGAGGACACAGTCTCAAGCTGCACCAAGGGAGATACAGGCTGGAATTAAGGAGGAAGTTTTTCACAGAAAGAGTGGTCAAATACTGGAATCATCTACCCAGGGAGGTGGTGGAGTCGCCATCCCTCGATGTGTTTACAAAAAGACTGTATGTGGACTTGGTGCCATGATCTAGTTGAGGTGTTAGAACATGGGTTGGACTCGATGATCTTAAAGGTCTCTTCCAACCTAGAAATTCTGTGATTCTGTATCAGCTCAGGTGTGCTCTGTGCTGTGCTGGGGGAGTTCCCATCCCAGGCCATGCTATCCTGATCTTTCCCTGCCTTGCACATCGCACACACAAGGCAGTGATGTGTCAGCCTTGCTGCTCTATTGATGTTTGGATAATGAGAGTTGGCATCTGGAGCTGCTTATCCTTTGTCCTTGAGTGTAGAACAACACTTGGACTGCAAGGGGCTCTTCATCTCACAGTCATGATCAGCTGGGGGGTATGGCAGGAGATCTGAGGGGGGAGGCTGTTCTTCCTTGTGGGATTACAGACTTTAAGCCCTGAGGAGCTCATTCCACCTGTCTGCATGACCCCCTGGCTGGGACTGGGGTATGAGCTATGTGCTGGCCCTGCAGAGAGGGCATTTCCACCCTGTCTCCAGTCAGTCACTTTGGCCAGGCAGGTGCTCTGGAGAGCTGTTTGAGGTGCTTGCAAGCAGCAATAAATGCAGCCCTCAGTGTTTGGGTAGATGGGTGGAGGTGTTGATACCAACAAGGCTGAGGACATCTGAGGAGGGGAGAGCTCCTAAGCCAAGACAAACTGGCCACCTGCTTCCCAGGGAGATGCTTCCTGTGGATGCAGCTGGAATGCAGGGGAGCAGATGGGTCAAACAGACAAAGTGTCTGTCTGGTGGATCCTGTCACCTTTCTGCCAGCAGAACTACTCACCTGGCCACTGGGGTAAGGGAGTTCTGTGGGCTCCAGCTCTTGCAAAACCTGATGGGATTCAGGTGGGAGATGTTCAGGCTGGGACAGCCCTGTAGGCTCTGTTTGTGCCACAATAGGTCTGCCTGTGTGCTCCCTGTGTGGGGGTAGCACTGCAGATCCTCTCTTGCTGTGCAGCAAGGCCAGTCTGTCATGTTTGTCTGTCTGTGCTCCAGTCTCCACATCAGAATCTAATTTCAACCTGCTGAGTATTGGCCAAGACTGACTGAAGATGTCTGTGGGGAGCTCCTCTGAGAGCCAGGCTGCAGGCTGAGCTCTTGGGGTGACTTTCTCCAGGCAAGGCACAAACATAGCTCAAATTACTGTCCTTGCTTTTGGGAGGGTCAGGTGGCACCTCTGATGCTTCCAGACCTTGCTGTGTGGCTTTGCTGAGCATTGTGTCTAACAAAGGAGGAAACCACTCCCTCAGAACTGCTGACTGGCTGGGAAGTGATGTGTGGATGGACATTTTGGAGGTCCTGATGCAGGACAAGTGTTAATGGCAAAGTGTTTTGCTGCAAGACATTAAAGCTGAGGCTGAGCCCATGAGCAGGGGCTGGGAATGTCCTCTGAGGGTGACAGGGTTGTGAATTCAAGCAGCAGAGCTTGTCCAGGCTGCACTGGGGAGTCCAGCTCTCTGCTGCTGCCTCATACAGGCTCTTTGAACCCCTTGTTCAGCTGCTGAATGGGCTTGTGCCAAACATGTCTCCCCTCTCAGGGATGGTGGGACACTCAGTGGGATGCCTGGCTCCTCGTGGGGTGGGAGCAGCAGAGTCCTTGGCTGCTCATCCCTGTCTGGACAGTGACACCCAAGGCTCTCAGCCAGAGTGCCAAGGCTGGTGCATGTTTTGGGAGGGAACACTGCTTCATTTGGGACAGAGGTTTGCCTGTCAGGGAGCTACAATCCCTGCTGGTAAGGGCTTCCTCAGTGCAAGGAAACCAGCCTGAGGGTTTCAAAGGTGATAGTACCTAGGAATAGCACTGGGGTAGCAGGGAGTGCTCAGTTGTGCTGGGAGTGCTGGAAAACCCAATTTTGGAATGAAAGCATGACCTGATTCCTGTGCTCCATTTCCCCACCCTGTGTGTGTTTCCATGAGCACTGCTCCTGCACAGTACAGTACCTGAGGCAGGTCTGAACCTGAGCTTTTGCTTTCTCCCAGTGCTGATGTGTGTCCTGTCTCTCCACAGCCATCAAGGTGAGCTGCATTGGATCCTGTGGGGTGTCCAACAAGATCAATGACACAGCATGGACTGTGGAGGAGCAGTACTTCAACAGCACACTGTCCCTGGCAGACAAAGGTACAGTCCACAAAGGCCTGGTGCAGATCTGTGCCCAGAGAAGCTTTACAGAAACGTTTCACCAAGACTTCAGCATCCCCTCGATGTGAAATACCCCTCACAGGCTGCCTTGGCCTGTGCACAGAGGATGGGAGCCAGGATTAGAGACTACAAGAGCTTAGCAGGAGCTGTGCAGGGAAGGATCCTGAACAGAACTTGGCAGCCACCCTGCAAACACTGCTGGCATCCTGTGGCCCTGGTCTTTCTGAGGCAGAGCTGTCACAGGGACTGCTCCCTGTCTCAATACTCTGTGAATTCACCCTGCTCTGTTCCCCACGTGTGTTTATGGTGCTCACAAACCCTGATCAAAGCTGGTCAGCAGAAGCCAGTGGTTTGCTGTGAAAGGGGGTGTGGATGTGTCACTTGTGCTCCAGTAGAAGCTCTGGGAGCGTGGCAGGATCAGCCTGGGGCAGCTACCCCTGCTCCCAGTGAGATGGACAGAGATAGTGATGGGCTTGGATTGTCCTGTGGGTAAAGTGACACCAGAGCCTCTGGGGGATCTGGGCCTGAATGAATGCTGTCTTTCTGCTGATAAATAGGTCAGCCTTACCACAAATAATTCATGCTGTGCCCTGGCTCCTGTTGAAATCAAGATGTGCCAGTATTCACCTGCTGAAGGCAGTGGCTGTAACAGGAACATGGCAAAAGCCCAGGGTAGCAGGAGCTCAGCCCTCTGATACTGTTTTGTCAAGTAACAGGAAATGGGTAAAACTGAAATGGCAGTTTCTGCTAGCTCAGCAATTTTCCAAGCAGAGCTTTTAGCAGTGAGGGGAGACTGAGCTCATTCTTGCAGCAACTGCTGAGAGGGCTGCTTGCTCTCAGGTCCCTGCCAGGGGAGACAGTTGGCTGGCTGGCTCTTGGCTCCCAGCCTGGGGGCTGCAGTCAGAGATAAACTGCCTGGGAGGGCAATGGGAACCATTCCTGCCTGATTCTGGGTGTGCTGAGCACAGAGAGCCCAGCTGTGGGTGTTGGGGTGGGGGCACAGTCACAGGGGGTCTGTAAGGTGCTGCACACCATTGGACTTAGATGAGTTGGGAGTTGTAGGCTGCAACTGTGTGGACTTATGGAGAGGTTTAAACCTGCAACTGCACTGAAAAATGCTCCTTCCAACTTTTGTTTCTAATATTTAATGATTGGAGGGAGAGCTGTGATCTTGTGGTCAGATCTGAGTGCTGGGCAAGCTGGGCAGTGGCAAAAGCCAGGCAGGAAGGTGGAGTGGGAAGAGGTGGCTGTGCTGTTTGTTGGGTTTGCAGCCCCTGGAAAACTTTGATAGCTGCTTTGGCAGTCAGTTCTTGTGAGGTTGCCCTTGGGAGCCATCCCCTTGATAACCAGGACTAGAGTGAACTGGGAAGGATGGAAAGAAAAACCTTGTGCTGAAGTGTGCCCTTTGAAGGCCTGACATCCAAATGTGGCCAAAATTTGGTAGTCCCAGTTCTTGAAGTGTTTGTGGAAAACCCTGATCTTTTGGCTGTTGGTTTTCTGGGGCCCAGACTCCTGTACACCTCCCATGGCAGTGCTGCTCTCTGTCACCCACTGGTATCACAGGCTCTGCCACCCTTGAGCAGGTGCCTGGGGCTGGCAGCAGGGCTGGGCTGCTGGCTCTGCACTGGAGCTGCTCACAGAGCCACGAGCCTGGGTTGTGAATGGGATGGAAGGGGCCAGCTGATGTCTCCAGAGCTGCCACAGCTGCAGGCAGGCGAGGCAAGAAACAGCAGTGCATGATTTACCTTAGGTGTAGGGAATTGAAGGGAAAATCTGTCCCTGTGGAGTGGTGTGTTTGGAAACTGAGGTGTGTTTGGAAACTGAGGTGTGTTTGGAAACTGAGGAGTGTTGTGGTGTGATTCCTGTCCTCTGCCTTGCAGAGCTGCAGTGAGATTATGAGGAAAGCCCAGCCCAGGTATCAGCAGCTGCTCTGGAGCAGTGTGCTGGGTACTCACAGTCACTGACCTCTGCTCTTCAGCTTTTTGTGTCCAAAAAGTGTGGCCCCAACTGCTGGGAGCTCTCAGCCTGATTCCCAGCTGCAGGGAAGCAGAGGGGGCAGTCCCTGTGTGTGGGATTGCAGCCACGGGGGATTTGCCCTTCATGCTCAGGAATTATTGCCCTGGACTTGCAGATTTGTCCCATGTCTGCACTCAGACAGGACAGCTGGGCCCCTGGGAGGATGGAAGGGGAGCAGTGGGATGGAGATGGAACAGTGTCAATGCTGCCTTTGGACCTGATTCCACCAGCAGAGATGGCTTTGAAGCTGACCCTTGCATTTGCTGTGCTGGCTTGCAGGGATGTGGAACAAAAGCCCTGGGGGCTGGCACTGCTCCAGCCTGCAGCACAGGGACAGAGAGAGCTGTCCCAGCCCTCCCTGTGACATTGATGCGTGTCTGGGCTGCTCCTCCACCTCCCTGCCTCTGTGTCTGCCTGTCTGTCTGTCTGCCTCCTCTGAGGGGCTGCTGGCAGCAGTGTCCTGGCACAGCTCAGCCCTGCAGGGCTGTGCTGGGGGAGCCCTCCATGGCCTGGTGCAGGCAGAGCCTCAGTGCTGACTCAGCTGTGGCATTTTTAGGTTTTCCAGGAATAGCTCTCAGCTGCCCTGGCCTTTCCTGAAAAAAGCATGAAGGAGCTCCAGACAGATGGAGTGTCCCATGTGGGTGTTCCCTGGGTGCCTCCCTGCAGGGCTCACCCAGATGGGAGGGGAAACTGAGGCAGGCTGGGCTGTGGGGTGAGGAGGTCACTGATGGTGATGGCAGGAGCCCAGGGTGAGTTAGGGGAGTTGGAAGCATTTCCAAGCAAGGGCTCCTACAGGAGCTGCTGGCCCACACTGCCAGCACACAGCTCCTGCCCTGGCCAGCACCAGCATCCACCCAGGACAGAGCACCACAAGCAAAGGTTGCTGTGGTGGCATCTGGTGTGGTCCTGCAGAGGAATCAAAACCATGCAAGACCCCCAGGGTGAATCCCTGCCTGTTACTCCAGGTGTGGCTTGGCTGTGCCCACCTTCTCCCACCACAAAGCCAACAGCAGAAGGGAGGGTGGGACTGTGGGAGGCCCTGGTGTCAGGTGGAGGGGCTGCCTTCCTGCCATGCCCCCAGAGGCCTTGTCCACACTGGGGATGTCACTGCTGAAAATGAGTTGAGGAAGGCAGGAATTTGCTTCTGCCTCAGAGGACTCTTCTGCTCCTGCCTTGCCCCCACTACAGAAATGCTGTTACCTCTTCTTTTTGAACAAGTGCATTTAAAAAGAAGGTAAGGAGGAGCAGCATGTCCCTGCTGGGGGGAAACTGGCAGCCAGGCTGTGCCCTGGGGCAGAGGGTGGTTCCAGGCTGTCCTCTGACACATCCCCAGCTCTCTTGAAAGGGGCTCATCCAGTCTGATGGCATTGGCCTGGATTGAAGAAGGATCCCAGGTGTCCCCAAGGCCTTACAGGGAATGGGGCTCTGTCTTGCCCATCCCTGGTGAGTGGCTCAGCCCCAGTGGTGCCACTGCTGTGCTGGCACACAGGAGGTGGTGCAGGGAGGCAGGCTCAGCCTGGCAAACAGCCTGCCTCACTCTATCCCTTCCCACATCCTGAGCAGAAACTTTCACAAACACCGATCTGTGCTCTTTGAGGACACGTGGGGGGAAGGGGAGAGGAGGTTTGCAAAACTGTCGAGGCTCAGCTTGCTCTGTAAGCCTCCAAGAGTGACTCGACACTTCTCCTCCCACACACCTCTGCATTGAAATAAGTGAGGGGGCAGCTCGTCCTCTGGCACCAGCTGCTGCTTGTATTACACACTGCTCTGGGGTTTTTTATTGTATGAAAAAGGAGGCAGGCCCTGAAATAACCCAGATGCCCACTTTGGCACTTATTTAAGGCACTTTCCTTTCTCTCCCCACCTTGGAGCAGGCTGTGCAGGACCTGGCTGTGCCACTGGAGCAGGTTGGTGATGAGTGCTGCTGCAGAGGACCCTGCTCCCCTCAGGGCTTGTCCCCACTCAAGCAGGGCATCCTCTGTGCTCTGGGCAAGCCTCTGGTGGGGCTGGGCAGGAGCTGCAGGCAGCTGTGAGGAGCAGGGGATTGTGCTGTAGCCTTGGCAATCCCACACAGGCCAACGGTTTAATGAACTCAGGCTCTTTACATCAAAGCTGCTGGGAAGTGTGGAGTGTGCCAGCTGCTGCAGAGCCTCTCACTGCTCTGTTTGCTGCTGTGCCACAGAGGTCACTCAGCCACCCAGGGCTCCCAGGGGGGGTTGGTTGTTACTTGCCTCCTGGAGGGGAGGCTAAGAGGGTATTTACTTATCCCACTTGGACTTTGATTGCTCACTGGTGTTGATTTTTCCTTTTGCAAAGAAAGGCAAGAGGGGTGGGGGCTGCTGGGTTTCTGTAGGTGTCAGCAGTGCAGGGCATCAAGTGGCAGCGAGCACAGAATGGCACCGCTTGTACCCAGCTCTGGGACACAGAGCTGCTTCTCTTGCTCCAGTATAATGGAGTGATTCACTCTGCAGAGCCTCCTGCTCCTCTCCCCCTCCTGCTGTGCCTCTGCCCTTGTTCAGCCAGAGAGGAGCAGGTCCATCATGTGCCTGTACCCCCATGGGGCTGTTCCCTCCCTGCATCTCCAGCTGCACACACAGCTCTTGCCCTGTGGAAGGGTTGTGCATGCAAAGGTAGATTTTTGGGTTTTTCTCATTCCCTCCTTGTACCTGAGTTGAACTCACGCAGGGAGCTGGCTGTAATTTCCAGCTGACCTTTCTTTTGGCAGCTTGTTAGTTAGCTTGAAGGCACTGCAGGGATTTCCTGGCAGCTCCACATGCTTCCTCTGCTGGCAGATTTCTTGCACAGAGCTAAAAAGGGGCAGCTGTGCATCACCTCTTCCCTAGGGTGGTTCTCTGCTGGCCTGGCACAACACCTTCATGGCCAGCAGTTGGCACAGGGTAACAATCCTGCCTCCCAGCTGAATTTAAAAATCCTGGTGACCTGTCTAAACAGAATTGTGAGAC